ATGAGTTGCAAAGACTTGGACAATGAGACATGGGAGAAATCCATTTTCCGTCCGATAGATGAACCTGAACCCTGGATGACCCTGGAAACTATTCTGGGTGGTGGTTTAAGTTTATAAGATAATTTATGTTATATTATTGTCTTCAGACTGAGACCGCAAGTCGCGCCATGTTATGTTTCTTTTTTCAGTTCTTTACTTCTTGGGATGATTGACCCCACTGACCTCATCTGTTTCAAGCGAGTGATCTAGAACCACCAGCCCGAGCGCCGGGGTCCCGGGACCGGTCGCTCTCGGGCGACAGGAACTGCTCTGAGCGCCCGAGCGCTCGGGGCGCTGAGGTTTCGGGAGGTCTTCCGCTTTTACTTGGGTCACAAGCCCACCCAGGCCTGGAGACGTTGTTTCGGCGGACGTTTCTGTGGGGGGGAAGTCTGTTTGTTAGTCTGGACCGGACTGGTGACATTGAAGGAGAAAAACGGGAGTTTTTCGGAGTGCGTGGGATGGAATTGGATTTCAGTTGGTGGGCATGTGAGTGATTTGCTTGATGAAGCATTTTTGAATCTCTGAAGGGTTCCTACCTGGACCACCCGATCCAAAAACAATGCGATATTTCAATGCGCAAGAACAAGTGCAATGCTGGACCCAAAAACAATATTTACGAACATAAATGACATATGTTGTGATGGGGTGTCCCCTGAGAGGTAGACTTGGACCACACATTCCCTGGGATAAACAATCTTCTCAGGTTTCCGCGGAGGATTGGGCTTGAAAAAAGCAGCCCGGTCAAGCTGAAGTGTTTGTAAGGTGTTCAATATGCTGCAAACTTCCCAGTCCGCAAGTGTCTGCAATCTTTCACCAAATTTTCGCCATAGACTTCTTTGTCAAGCTTTGCAAGCAGCAGCGCTTTCCAAAAACTACCCCTATATCAAACGTTGGAATGCCCAAAGTTGAACTGGAGAATCTGCGTAGCGTAGGGGAACTCATCAATTCTGCACCCAAGAACTGGGTGTCTTGTTGCACCAGGTGCAGGTGCTTTTCTACCCCCAAAGATCCCCAGCAGAGCACCAAGAGGTGACAGTGCTATGGCACTTTGGCATGACAGAAGAACCTCATGTTTTGCATACCAAGGTTGCCCTAGGTACTCTAAGTGAACGGACATGAGTAGGAAGGGACGAACCTCATGCTCATGAAACTCATGCTCATTTAATTCCACCTTGCTGTTTAAAAAAAGCATCTCAAACCTCCTGCCTAGCTCGCGCGGGGAGGAGCGGGGCACCGGATGTGTGGTGGGCAGGAGCAGTTCCAGACGGAGTGGGCGAAGCTGGACTGTTGTGGCAACCAAAAGGTGGACTTGACCAGGCACAGCCGCTGAGTTGTGGGGCGTAAGGAGGCTGCAGTGGGGGAGTCGCATCGGCTGAGGGGGCACCATGATGGAGCACCCTTTGGTGCTGCACACGCCAGGGCAAGCGGCATCTGGCCTTTCTAACTGCCCATTCACTTCTCTCAACAAGTAACAGGTGGAACAAGATGGTAAGCAGCCTGCTCACGGCTTCCAATGCATTCATTACATCCCAGATCCTACTTATGTCTCTATCCGTACAGGCTCTTGACAGGCCACGCGTGGGTCAGCCGGGACCACGCCCAGGTACATCACTTGGCTGCAGACCTCGACGAATCCGATCTTCCGGCAGCACGCGCCGCCGGACACCGCGGAGGAGCCGAAGGAGACGCCCAGGGTCGAAGGCCAGGCGAGTCGGAGCCGCTGTGCGGATGGAAAGGCCGGACCCGGCCGGATCGCCATGGACACGTGCTTGCCTTAAGGCATCGTGTTGAACCTATCGGCACGTGCCAACTGGACATGGACAAAGTGGGTTGGACCTGTCCAAGTGGCCCAGTCACTGCCGTTTTGGGCGTCCCGGGCCCTGGATGGGAGGTCAAGCGAGCGGCGTCGTTCATCGAGAGGAGATCGGTTGTCCGGGCCCTTGAGGCCTAGGAGGCAAGATAGGCTCGCGGTGAGGTGTGCAAATACATTCTCCAGTGAGGTGCAAGACTGTGGCATACCCTGGTTTTGCTTATTAAGGTGATTTGTTTTTTCCCTTATGGCTCGATCGAAATCCACGGGCCTAGAGGTCCGAAGACCCAGTTTAAAACCTGGTCTACCTCCTTAAGTAGTTTTTCTATGACCAAGTCCAGTCAAATGAGCTCCTTCACTTGTAGGGCATATGTTTTCCAGGCTCCTTAAGCAAATCCAAGAATACTGTCATACTTCTCCACTTCAGTGCCGAGCCGAGCGCGACTCTGCCAGGTGCTGGGAAGTATTTGCCCAGAGTGACCTTCAGCAAGAGCCAGATCAGGCCGAAATGGCTTCTGGGCAGCAAGTTTGGAGATCCGTCGGTAGAAGTAAGTCACTTGTTCTTGTCTTTCGTTGATGAGTCTTCGCCTCTGTATTTTGTAATTGTATGTTGTTTTACGGAATGAGCAAGGCAGCAAGGCACATATTCTACGTTGTTTCATGAATTGAATGGAATTGCTCCGGGATAAAGGTCGCCGCTCCACGTTCTGAAACTTCAACCCCCACTTGTAAGGGGGCTCCATCACCTACTTTCTCTCATAGTGTGACAGATGGAAAGTATTCAGATTCATATACTTGAAAGGCATACACCCTTGTGCATTTCTCAATGCTCCTCACTCCTCACATGTCCTTGCAAATTCCTCCACATATATGGCCTCTTTAAGCTCCGTTGAAGGTGGACGAGCAGTCATGAACGGCCACTGATTGTTCCATGCTTTACGGTGAACATCGCCCCCCCAAGAATCAGGACAACGACACGAAGTGGTAGTGGTAGTGGTTAGGCGTTTGCCGTTTGCGGAAATTCAGATCATTCAGACAGGATTTGTTTGTACTGCCGCGTTTGTGGCTAGGACAGATGGGTTCATGATGCTTGTGCTTTTTGTCATTTTCGGAATGGTGAAAGAACGCTCGTTCAAGCAAACAAGGAGGAGCGCCTGACGCGGTGTTTCCGTTTGGGCGCTCCAAACGGCACGACAATTCAGCAACAGTTTTGGGTGCGCTTTGAAGAACGTGGAGGTATGAAACAACTTTTTATATTTCTATAGAGCACCATATAAGAGCCTGTGTGAGTGATTTCGTTGGTGTCATGCTATAAAACATCGTGAAACCACCAAAGCGCGATGGAGAGAGAAGTACAAAGAGCAAAAAACAACATGTGCATACTTCGGGCGTTGAACCATGTTGAGCTTTTCAAGGGCTATTGAAGCCTTCTTCAAGAGTGCTTGGGACAGGGAGTTCTCCCTGCGCTTTCGACCAAAGCCGTGACCACGCGATGCGCGGCACGTGGGCCGAAGGAACCAGCGCTTCAATGCCGGGGTGAACAAGAATGAACGATGCCCTCAGGGACAAAGACGCTGGGAATGACGACTGGGCGTGGGAAATGACTGAAGCCCATCCTGTGGGAAGGCGGAAGGTTCCAGCTCTTGAGACCTTTGAGATGCAGGGCCATGAAGAGCCCACATGGAGATCTCTCACCTGAATGTGTGGAAAGTCTTGGATGGTCTCACTTGCTCTCTTTGAATTACGGTACATCGAGCTGTCACGTTGGTGCTGGGTTCTTGTCTTCTCGTTTGAAAGGGCCGAGAAGGGTGGCATTCGAAGGTTCCATCCGCGACCGACCGGTGGTTTTTGGGTCGTGTGGCATGTGTTCTCTGCGAAGAATTGGCATCATGCTTCGGTGATAGGACACCTTGCCGGTCCATGTTCCGCCCCTTGGGGCACCGGATGAAAACCACAAAGAGAGGTCAAAAGTTCTTAGCAACCTGTTGGAGCTGCTGATAGCTGCTGTTTTCTAGACTCCCTCAAAGTAAGCCACGATAGTGTCACCTCGAGTCTATCCTGTTTTAGTTGAGAGACCAATTTGGTCAAAGCTCAGGTTGGCACACCAGTTGCTGCTATGCTTCAGACACGGCGGTATCAGATCTAAATGGTGAACTCATTGGCATTGTTTTCTTCTGCAGTCTTTGGGGGAGACATTATAAAAATTGGATATGTCCTTTGATACCGCCGACGTTTTCCACTTTCAAGCTTCTCTCACAAGCACCCCCGAACCCCCAAAAAACTTTTGCCTAGAGACCTTAAAGGAGCTATCTCGTCACTGGCCTTTCTTCTCCATGCCACTGCGTGGTTTCTTCTCCAAATGATTTATCCCAGGCAGTTGATGGGGTCCACCCTCTCCCACCATCCACTGACTCCAGCTTCCTTATCTCAGGAAGCTACTTCTCCAAGACGCAATCACTTCCAGAATTGCAGCGCCAAGCTCGGTAAGGGGTCGATAGCATTGCAACGATAGTTCCTGAACACCTCCCTGGCTGAAGTGGAGAAACACACCGAACTCGAGACCATGGATTGAAGCCTGCATGGATTGAAGCACTTGAAGCTTGAGTTGCTCGAACTGTGAGGAAGCAGCCATGGGCATTCCTTTTCTGCAATCAGTGCATCTTCAGCGAGATCATGTGATGATACAAAGGTTGTCAGTACTTCACAGCTCCGTTGTGAAGTACCATGTCCTGCAGCCGTTGAACTCACTAGGCCACGGAGGTATTAGCCAAGTGGAAGACGCCTATAGGCACGCCTAGGCACTCGTCTGCCAAAGAGCATGAAGTCCAAGAATAGATAGCATAAGGGCCCCCAAGTTCACAGTTCAAAGACATGCTTATAGGGTGCCAGTGCCCTCTGAAATTCCGTAGCTTTTTCAGTTGCGGAGCCCTGCAACTGTCAAGAAAGAATGGATCATGAACCTGCTGAGTCCGGCGAGTCCTGCGAGTCCAGACCGAACATCCGCCAGCGAGGTTGAAAGGTTGAGAGATGCTTCACAGACCTTGGGGTGGGTTTCAGGTGTCTGTACAGTGAACCAAGGGGTCTAGGTTTCGGGTGTCACGCCGCCCCAGGTGTTTGTATGATTCGTACAGTTCCACCTCTGAACCCTCTACCCGAACGAAATCGTCCACGCACGCCATTCATCACGGTGAGCCATGGGCAACGCGGCTCCGTCGGTTTCGCGGGTGCTGGAGCTGCGCTTGGCGAGACCCACATGGCACCAGGGCAGCTCGGAAGTGGAGTCAGGACTAACAGGGCACTTGGCCCCCTTCAACCCCGATCCAAGGGATCACGACATCAGGACCCCATTGGAACGGAACATGCGAACCAGTCAGATGCCGGCAGTGCCGGCGTCCCCCGTCTTCGAAAGAGCTCTGAGCGAGGACCCTAGTAGCTTCTTGTTCCTAGTAGCGATGCCAGGAGCCCCTAGTAGCATCCTTGCTCCTATAGTAGTAAGGCATAGTAAGGCCTCCTAGTAGCTTCTTTGTTTCTTCCTAGGCGACCTGAGCCGTCACCTGGAGCTTCGCCCTTGGCCTGCACCGCTCTTCTCGGCGCCCGCGCCGCCACTGCGACCGCGTTGGGAGGAAACCTTCCGGATGGAGGCGCGCGCGTGCTCGGGGCCTCCTAAGGTGGGTCTGACAGAGTGGCGAAAAGAGTGGCTGACAGATCAGAGGATGAAAGAGTGTGGATTTCTGGATGCAGAACCCTCCCCAGGTGTGGATGGAAAAAGGAGGCTAATTATACTTAGGAAACAGCTTTACCTTTTTAGACGTTTCATGGGACCAGACGTGTCGTTGAGTCGAGTCGCGCTCAGGTGGAGATGGGCCTGGAGGTGCGAGTGATGCAAGGGGAGCAGGAACTGGCCAGAGGAGTCCTGGAGGCAACCTGCTTGGCCAGCGTGTTCTTCGATGTCATGCGGTGCTTGGGATTTGGAGGGCCAAGGGCTTCCTATGCGCTTCGCAGAAGCCTGGCTGGTCCCGATACCATCCGGTCCCACGGACTGGTTTCTAAATCGGTATCAAACCCGGATCTTAGAAGACTCCTATATCAAAAGCCTTTCCTTTGATTTTGAGCCACCTATATGCCAATCCCCCATAATTATTCTACAAGCTGATTGGCACAACTGCAGGCTTTGAGATGCACGATGGGAACCGTGTCATGAGCTTTATCGTAGAACCTTGGGATGGTGGCTTCTCTTCGACCAATCGTTGGTGGGCATCACTACATCCAGAATCGTCTGGACACAAAACCATCCTGAGAATCACCCCGACCGGCGCCAACAGGCGATCCCACCTGTTCCGCAGCTGGTCTTTCGCGTGGTGCCGCTGCCCTTGGCGCCCAGCAGCTTTGGCACGCCACACGGCCAATGGTTGTTTCGGTTTGACCTGTGCCCACGAACGGGTCATGCAATGGCATGGGTGGAAGAATGGGAGTCAAACCAGCAAAGTGATGATTATGTCCTGATATGATCTGATATGCATTTGTATTTATGAGCACATTTATGCATACACCGGGTCATCCAATGGGTGTTCAATAGACTACCCTACCCCACTTACAGGTCTCCATTGGGCACCCGTTGGAAGTGCTAGGTATTGTGTATATATGTATAGAGAGAGAGGGAGAATTCATAAAGGAAAATAATCCACAACCAACAGCAATGCGAGAGTTGAGCCTAGACGATTCCGACCATTCCGTTGCAGCCCACACAACGGATGGGTTGACCCTCCGGCCGACGAACGCGACACGTCCGACGAGGTTAGAAGTGAAGCTTCGAGAGGCAAGACGAAGCCGAGAAGAATTTTTGAGACGAGAGCGATGTCTTGCCGTTTTCGTGATTCCGGTGAAGGGGATGTCTCAGCAGCTGTCCAAGATGTCGATTGATGGAAGTTTTTAAAAGCCGTTCTTCAGCCCTTTTTGGGCCTTGCACGCTCCATAGAGATCCTAAGAGAGTTCATGTGTTAGCTGTTTGAACTGCACCTTTGTTGGACATGAAAACTATGGGATGTAGGCATCAGTCTTGGAGGCGGTTTGCACTAAGTATGCACTAGTCAACCCTGAAAGCATCCTCACCTCACCTAACCAGCGCTTGAGATCTTTCGAGGCACCAGAAATTAAGCCCCTCGGCCACGTTCTGAACCCCAATCACCCAAATCACCCACCCCGGGACCCGCAGATCTCTAGCAGATCTCGGTGTATCCCCGAAAAACCGGCGCAGTGTCGTTCGTGGTTTTCTTGGAGGGGCACCCGACCCTACCCTACCCACCCGAGCTCGTTTGGAGTCCATTTGGAGGGGTGATCCTCAGGAAGAGTTGGACCCTTGGAGAACCCAAAAGAGCCTTTTTGGACCTTTTGGGGGGGCAGGTTTTCCCTCTCAAGAACAGGTGGAGAAAGGTGACCTGGGCTTTCGAACAACGGCTCGATAGTCAGAGAGGGATCTTCCAGGGTGTTGGCTTGGCTTGAACGATCCCTTTTTGGAGGAAGATCATGGAAGATCCATAGGTGGCACGAGCACGAGCACGTTCTGACGGTATAGGTTCCAACGCCAGCGGTGTAATTACAGAGTGATTGTTGTCATTGTTGATGGATTTGGATCGATTTGGACTGATCAAGCAATCTTCGGTGATCCTTGTTCAATGAATGAACTGCAAACCCTTCAGTTTCACTGGTGTGTCATCAAAAATTTGCTGGTGATATTCGGTGATTTTTACGGGATGTTACATAGACCTTTGCAGAAGCTTGCGCCGCTGAGGGGGTTTTGATGGGTCAGGCCCCATCGGAACAGGGAGAAGAAGGACGCTTCCAGTTCCAGATGCCCTTGGCCAGACGCCAGGTGCCATCAGGGAGCGCTCCGGGAGGGGGCCCGAGACCGACCACCCAGGTGATGGGACAGTTAGTTGGAGTTGATGGGGCATATGGCCATGGCATATATGGTATAAGATGTCATGTGCTTACGCCGAACCGAGGCAGAACCGAGGAGCATGTTTTGGAGGATCAGGTTGGGGCGCAGCCGTGAACGACTCAGATCACTTAAGCATATTACTTAAGCTCATAACCACCTCATCCAACTTGAATCCAAGATCCAGCGTTCTTCATTGTGCCCATTTGTGTTGCAAGCGGCTCTGAGGAGTTTTCAAGTGTCCTCACCATGCTAGTCACTCTCTACAGACGGGTGCTTAGCAGGGCATCTGTGTGGCCCCCACACACAAGAATCCCAGGATAGAGCCATCCGATTTCGCACCATGTCAGTGACACGAGTGACAGCCCATGGCGGACGTTTACATCCTTTTCAAACTAGTTTTGGTGTAGTGTTCCCTTTCCTAGCCCCTTGAATGCCACATTGAGGCAGTGCAGGGAAGTTGGTTGCGCCCATGCTGGGTGCATGTTTTGGGCATAATTTACGCCCATGTGGTGGTTGGTTTAGTTTGGTGCTCGGTGTTCTCCTTGCACCGGTTGGTTAACCTTACGACTTTATTTTCTCCCATTCGCTTCGCTAGAAAAGACAAGAGCTTGCTGCTTGGCTTTTCTTCTTACTTCCCTTTAAACTTAGCGAGTGCATCTGTCCCAAGACTGAAGCCCGCAGTGACAGAGAGACAGAGAGAGTGCTGGAAGCAGCGCTTTCAGCTCAGCTCAGGTCATCTCTCTGGAGCTTCAAAACGCCGAGCTCCTCAAACGTCTCAAGGGCCGAGCGTCCCGGGACGGGCGACGCACCGAGCTCACCGAGCGCGAAAGAGCGCCGATGAGGCGCGCGCGCGCGCAGAGACGCGTGGCAGAGCAAAGACTTTGTTCGGACTCCTGTCATATGAAGAGGAAGAACGAGTTCGGCTTCCCAGCAGCATAACAAGCTCCGTCCGAGCCGTCGGCGAGGCATCAACAGCTCTTGGCAGAGGCATATGCCCAAACGGCTGAGCTTTTGCAGAAGAAGCAGCACCTGCGGCGCAGGCGCGGCACGTCTGCCGTTGATCTGTCGGGTTTCCACGATCGAGATGCCCGACTCTATATCATACTCCCAGGCTATTTGGTCAGACTGTAGTGGTAGAGCAGGACAATGGCTACTCGAAAAGGCCTGCCTCAACTTGGAGAACGGAGATGCGCCCCCGCAACCGGTATGTGTTCACTTAAGCCTTCCTTTCTGAAGTATACTGAATTGGAGCCTGGCACTGTGAGATGCCCCCCCTGGGCTGGTCAGATGGCTTCGGGAAAACATAGACCCCAAGAGAAAACCCCCAGTTTTTGCTGGGCACCGTTTTCCCCCCTCTTGACTCAAGTTGTGGGCACCAGCCAAAAGGGTCCGGTCACAAATCTTTATGTCCTCTCATATACCGTCATTTCATTCAATTTCCGGTATTTCTTGGCTGGGCCATTTCCGCTTTACATCAAGCGGTGCCAACCATTTGGTCTGTGTATGCCACAGGTAAAGAACTCTAGAAAAAGAATCGTTGGGGAAGTGAAGAGGGAAGGATGGCTACTGTGTGCATCGAATTCTCTCTCTCTCTCTCTCTTTCTCTTTATCTCTCATGTTTTCCACTTCTGCCCATGTCCCCAACATATGGAGTTCCGATTGTTTGTGCATAGGTTTTGGCGCTCGCTCATACGTTTCCATAAAAAATCCTCAGCAACTGTATGACATAAACGTGACATAGCCACTTGGAAGAGAAGAATGAGCTGTTGAACCTGTGTTGTCACAGCATGTTTCATGATTTTTCACCTATAGAACAAGACCTCGGTTGTGTAGAGGTTCCAGGGACTTGTCCGGTCCTGTAGATTTTCCTTTCCAAACATCAACACAGTTGTAGACATTTTTCATGATCAGTGAGTTGGCCATGAAAGCATTCCCATCCGGCTGTCGTACCACTTGGACAGGCTCGCTGCGATGAAGCTCCTGTGCCACTCTGAACTGCCTCGCCTGCGCGGGCAGCTACAGCAAGCGCTGGCCAGGCTGGGTGGGATCGCCCGCTTGGAGATCTGAACTTGGGAGCCCTGAACTTGGACCAGATGATAGGCCATAGGCCGCGTTCAACCCTTGACCGAAGGGGAGCTTCTTGTGCCAGGAGCGGGGTGTTGTGCAAAAGTTTGAGGCCCCTGACTTGGAATCGCCCAGCTGGATTGACTTGGGAGGTGTGGGTCACAATCGAACCCCAACAGACCTATTGGTTATAGCTTGTCATTGTATTTTTACCCTCCCAACACTCATGGAGGTGGGTGATGCGCCAAGTAGTGCAAGGTCGACTGGACCACATGTGGCGCCTCTCGCGGTCTCCGCGAGCATAGGGGGTCTGGAAGGTGAACTCCAGGGCAGCCGACCACCAAAAAAAGACAGTCTTCCATGAAGCTCAGCCCTCACTACGCATTCCCGGGGCATCCAGTTACCACCATAGCTGGTAACCATGATTCCAAAGACTAAGCCAAAGACCTAGAATCCCTGGTTCCTTGTATAGTGGTTTGCCTGGGATGCACTGGGATTTGTTCTTATGGTCAAAATAGCCCCGTTTGGGGCTCCCAGAGGTCCGAACTTCGCTTCAGAAAGCGATCCACCTTAGGCAGCAACAGCTGAAAGCCGATGCAGAAGCGAAGATCGCTTCCTTACAGGAAAGGCTGCGGCATGCCCAAGAGCCGCTGGGCATCGCGCATCGGCATCGCGCGCAGTTTCGCATGGTTTCGGAGATTTCACATGAATTTCGGAAGAATCCACCTGGGAGGTATATACCGACTATATATTACTGTATAATGTAGTAAGTTGCCAGCACTTATAGTAAGTTGACTGCATGCTACCAAAAATGATTATTATTTTTTGATGTAGTTTGCGTATTCTATTTGCAAGTATAATTGTTCTGAGCAGATTCTAAGTGCTAACAACTTACTATATTATATAGCTCTGCCTTTCTGGGATCCAAGACGGGGAATCACGGAAGGTGAGGATGATTGGGTGGCTGTTTGAGGTGGGAACTGGGAACTCCAGAGTCGGAACGTGAACGACTTTGAGGTTCATGAATTCTATCCAAATTGATCCTTTAACGTGGTCTTGACTCGGATTCGCCATCCATCTCAGAATCTCACGATCTGAAGCGCCTGCCCCGACTGACACGCTCCCTCCCAAAAACTCCTCGACCCGAACTCGGGCGTTTCCCTGCCCATTTCACCGTCTCGAAAGCACATATGTCACTCACTCCACCACCTAGGAGCGCGTTCACTCACAGACCCAGTCGGTGGATCACCTGAAGAGGTGCTCGCTGCACCGGGCTTCTTCGGATGGCACCAAAAAGGACCGCCGTTCTCGGTCCACATCCCAGCGGTTCCCGGAGAAAAGGCAGAGGAACCAACGAACAACCACCTCCCAAGGGTCCGCAAACCACCTCCTCGCGCTGGATCCACACGTGTTTTTGTTTGGGGCGTTTCACGCGTCCGCCGAACCGGTGCGAAGCGGTGCGAACCGGACGCCGTGGGTGCCTTTGTTGAGGAAAGGCCTCTCAGAGGTGGAGGTCCAAGGGCTGGTGGCCTTGGCGCTGGGCCGCCGCGAGGAGCTCCAGCGGAAGCTCCGGGAGGAGGCGGAGGCGCAAGCGTCCCAGGAGTTGGGGGGGTTGGAGAGGGAGGTCCTGGCTGGGTAGATGGTTAAAGATATTGTTAACGGGATCATACCGATATACCATGGGATACCTATTGTTTGCACCATGGTATTAGATGTTTCATCCATGTTGGGATTGATGTTTTACTTTTTACTTTTTGCCTTGGCTTTATGCACCTGCTGAGCCTGACTAGTTAAGTTAGATGTGTGAATTTATAGTTATTACTTTGTGGCGTTTGTTCGAAAGGCAGCCTTGGCCAGGTGAGCTTATTCAACAAATTTTTATAATCAAGGACCCCATTGTCATTGAAACTGCCCAACATCAGCTTCAAGAAGTTCCCAAACACATTTTCAGCTTGATACAGCGTCCCGGCCTTTTTCGACCGCGTCTGCCGCCTCACTGCCGCGGCAGATGCACTCGCAGGAGTCCCCAGAGGTCGCGCACTTGCAGGAGCTGTCGCTCCAGCAGCAAGAGGACGAGGGGTTTTGTGTGGCCGATGCGCGGCGCTGGGGTGAGCGGGGCGGATGAGCGGGGGCAGATGGTTTTTGTTTTTTTTTTGGACGTGGTGGGGGGGGGGATGTGGAGAGAAGGTGCAGAATGAGAGAGACGAACCTTCCCAGAATACGTGGAGAAGCTGAAGAGTTTGGTTGGGTTTCGCCACTCAAAAGAAGGGGCGAACCTTTTCCAGAGCTGAGGAAGTCAGGACTTGGCTTCAGGAAACGGTGTCTTGAGACATGTTCAATCTCGGCCATGGTTTCGGTAGATGATTTGGACACCACCAGCAAGGAACAAGAGTGAGAAGGGAAGATAGGGAAGAAGGCAGCACTCGCACTCTGTTGAAACTGCTATGGCCAATTGCGGTGAACGTTGGAAAGACCGTGCACGGTTATATGGCGCTGCCAGCACCCTCAACAGGTCTCCTTTGAGGGTTGTTAGGGCCGAACACATCTCAATTTCTGGAGGGTGCTGGTATAGGTAGTCTAACATAATATGACGGTGTTAGTTGGGAGGAGTGTGTTGTAGATGTAGCTCCCTTTGCATACCCCTACTACGGAGCGAATTGGGGACAGAGTAGAGAAAAACCCAATCTCACGCACATGTTGGCCACCAAACTGTGGTCATGCCTTGGGGGTGTTTGGGGGTGTCCCAGTACCTGTGACAGTTCGTAAACAGTTGTCACTATTTTTAGAGAGAGCATCGGCCACTGTTACAGGGAATGTGATGAACTCAAGTCATGCCTGATGGGGTGCCTTCTTGCGTGGAAGCTGGGCTCAAGAAGGGTCACGCACTCGCCGGGCCATATGTGACATGGATGTCATTCAAATCTTGAGCAGCTGCAGTCAGCAAGGTTGCTCCCATGTGGATCAACAGAATGAGCGGGATCGATATTTCAATGCAACCATCACCTAAGAAGCCACCAAAGAAGACAAAAGCCAACAACCAACTGCCAGACCTCACCACCCAAAGTTGGACTGCGCCAGAGGCCACCCAGAACACCCAGAGGCCACCCCCGACATCCCCAACTTCGTGCGTAAAGCCGCGGGCGGACGCATGCCGCTCCCCCCGGAGCAGCCAGGCACACGAGTGAGAAGGGGGGCGAGTGAGAAGGGGGGAAGATAATGGGAAGCTTGGGGAAACCTTGAACTTTCATAATTGAAAGATATTGAATGAAAGAAACATAAAGAAACCTTATCAGCCTCAGTTGGCAGCTTTGTTGGTGGCAGTGGCAGAAGTTGCCGGCCATGCGGCCGACCCTAAGACAGACCCAGCCTTTGCACCAGAGGCCCTAAAAATGCCTGGCGGGATGCGATGGCATCATTGGCCGTTCTGAGGATTTCTCTCAACGACGGCCATGTGAGCTTTTAAGGAGAGCGCTCCTTTGCATGGCAGTACTTTACAATACGACTCCATCCATCCGCCAGTCCTGATGATCCTCATGCTTTGGTCGTTTGATGTCGTTTTGGAGGCTCCATGCGGTCGGACATGGAGGAGGAGGAGTCGCCGCACACCTTCTCTGAGAAGGTGTGTGTTTTGATCAAGCCTCTAGGCGCCTTGGACGCCTGAAGAAAGGCCTGAAAAGGGGGTCAAGACTAGGGCTTGCCTACCCACTGAATGGATGACCTTTACACTCCCTAGAACCAACTTGGAAGTGGAGAATGGCCCCTTGGAAGACCATTTTCCTCTACAAACAGGGGGTGAACTCCACTTCCATGTTAGTTGCAGTTTAACCTGTTTTGAGAATTGGTTGTCCCACTCAGCAAGAACCGGTGGAGCGGACGCGGCGATGGGACCGTCCGATCGGTTCCACTCTGCAACACTTGGACCAGACCAGCCGACTCACGTTTTCCCCAAACAGTGTGGGCACACTGAGGGGTTCTTACGGTAGGAGAAAGGCAGCTGCTTTTTTTTAACGTTTTTGACGAGGGGAGGTGAGTGACATTGGGCCTCACTCAGGTAGCTCCGGATGAGTGTTTTTTAATGGTCATGTTGAAGCACTTCACAAGCCTCTCAGCCCCCCGATCTCGCTTCTCGCCACAGATAGCAGCCCTTAAGATAGCCCTCTCTTCGGCTTTGCATTGCTTCGGGCGTCTGCTTGGATGGTACAGGTCCCCAAAATCGAAGGTCATCGGCACCAGGTCCACCTCGCTCGCCGTCCGCTCGCCGTCCGGCGCTCGCCGTCCGCGCCGTGGCCGGTGTCCACTTCGCCACTCGAAGGGTGACGAAAGGCCGACGAAACGGGCCGTCCTTCCTTTCGAGTAGTGGGGGCACGGTCGATGAGTTCTCCAAGCGAACGTGAACTCGGCGGCGCCATGTGGGCATCTTATAGATTTTAGTGTGACGAAGGATGTAAATACCAGCAGTCACAAAGGGGTGCTTCAGTGCTTAAGGTTAGGGGTGCCCATTATCCACTCACTTAGGGACTAAAAACAACCCCTTTGTGACTCCTGGTATGGGCTTGAATATTGAATAGTGGGATGATGGAGCTTCAGCCAGGCTCTCCAGAGACAGAGACGCCTGGATTCTGGACATAGCAATAAAAAGTTTTGGAAGAGATAACAGAGAGTATACCCATTGTTTGGGCGGGAGTCCTCCCTAAAAGGCCAACCCCATCCAATCCCATATATATATATATACTGTACAATCTATGCATCAACCCCATGTTTTCAGGATGCTTATGACCTGGTCCGCAGCCTCGATCAGGTCGGGATCACTACACGTCGCCGTTGAGCATCCGATTATGGGCGGACAACCCTGCCCACCCGCGGAGCTTGTTGTTGGAGCTCACGGACGAAAAGGACCTCCTCTTCTATCATAGCTTGGCCTTAGGCGACGTGGCTCATGTGTAGTCTCATGTGTAGGAGTTTCTTCCAGAGAAAAGCTCGGGGCAAGCTGGCAAGGCAACTCCTGAAGGAGCAGCATATGCCACTGCAATCATAGGGACCATGTATCACATTGTACCACCATATATCACATAATTTGTTCACATCAGGTTCATTGTTCATTTCCTGAGCTTTTTTGCACTTGAGCATGCCCACCCATTGATGTTGGTTCTTGAACAATGATGCCATGCCTCCATCGGGGAAGAAAGTCCACCTTTGGACTTTGGACCATCGGTTGTTGATTCAACCAAGAGCTACTACAACTAACGCGACATCGGCTCATTGGGCGGACCCCCAAAAAACGCCGCCTGACATTGCAGAAGACAACCGGAAAGAACCGGATGGGTGATGAACGTTTGTCCTTTGGGGAAAGCCTTGGGTCTCTCCGCAAGAGAGAGAGACCCCCGTGCAGAGGTGAGAGCGACTTCCATGCCCTGCGCTCGGAGCAGCGTTTGCTGGTGGACTTCCAATCCTTCCCCGAGCAGCTGGCCGACCTCCTGCGCCGCTGCAGCGAGGCCGAGTGGGAATCCTCGGCCGCCTCGGCCGGTGGGCGGGCCAAGCAGGAGCCTGGCAGTTCCAAGATGTTGGCCTCCTTGGATGCCTGGCAAGTTGGTGGATATGGGGTGTGAAGGACGGATTTTTTACATTCCAGCACACCTGGAGGGATCAGCAGGTGTGGATGCCAGGTAGCGAGGTCCAATCGGGAGTTTGCTTTGGAGAGGTCGATGTTTCCGCCATGTTGGGAGCCACTCCCAAGACCGTGGTCGGTATAGAGGCATCCCATGCTACTGTGTTTGCTTATGTCTTTGTGGGATTTACCTTGACACGTGAGTTTGACCATTCGCAGATAGGAATGGCAGTATATATTGCATAATGAGTGGAGATTTAGGCGAAAAGCCTTGAAAACAATGGTGAAGGAGCCGGCTTGCCAACCCTTTCTCCAGCAGATAAAGTTTGGAAGGAAGTCCTTGGGAGCTGCGTGAGGGCAATTCCTTATTCCTGGTGTTGCTTAAGGTGATTGTTGATTTTCCCTCCCCTTGTGATTGTGTTTTGCACTTTTCTTAAGCGCGTCCAAGTATTAGCACAACCTTCCCATGACCCAGTTTGCTCGCTGTTTAAGGAGTGCACCGCCAGTGGTGAGAGCCGCTTGAACATCGTGGAGTCCACCAACTTCCGCGAGCCTTGGCTGACCGAGGTCCAGGTTAGGTGGTTTGGGCCAGTTTCTTTGGAGTTCTATTCCCCATTCTTCGGAGATTCCTGGCCCACCATTGATTTAATGGCTCGAAGACCCAACAACCACATTTGCCTTGAAAGCCAAGTCAAGCATCTGTAAATGGTCTTGAAAGGCTGTTTTCTTTTTGTGTGCGGGCTTGTTTCCTATTGTCAGCTGCCAGAACGGGTTTAGCGTTGACTCACCCCCCCTGCACCAAATCAGCTCGAAAACAAGAATCATCATGAATTTGCGCCCTAGAGCTGGTTGGTTGGATCTACATGTGCCATTATATATGTGCCTTCACAAGCTGGATGTCAAACATCGGGGATGGAATGGATGATGTACATCCCCGATCCAACCGTACCATGGACCCTGAGCATTCATCCATGTTAATTTTCAGATATGTTAAGTAGGTCATGAATCCAGATGTCTTGGACCCTGATGGACCCTTGGACGTTTTTCTTCCCCAGCTCCCTGGTCCAAGGAGCTCATCCATATCGACCTGCGCTTGCGACAGGGCTCAGATGAGGCGAGGAGAAAATTAGAACGTCTACGTCGCATCGACGTTCGAAAGCACATGTGGGTGGGTATGTTCAAGGAGGCAGGGCTCCAACCAAGGGGTTCTGGATGGTTTTGATATGTTTTGATCCATTTATATTTATCTCCCTACTTCCCGTCTTTGCGAAGTTCCCCCTTTTGGAATACACGCTCGTGTCAGTCCCGCCGTCGCCGGACTGACCGGCCATGGGACCAACGCCGGACTGGCCGGGACCCGAGGTGGTGAAGAAACACTTGGCCAAGAAGCTGCGGATCTGTCGCGCGGAGCTCTTGGAGAAGGAGCGGCGCCTAGGTCACCAGAGCGAGGCCTTGGAGAGCAGCAA